AGTGTGAAATTCTCAAAGAGTACTTAATCTCCCATGGACTGCCAAAAGGGTAAGTAAGTCTGTCTTGGACAAAGGGCAAACATGGTACTCCTTAGAGGAAAGGATGGTGAAACTGCATCTCACATACTTCAGGCATATTGTTAGGAGGAGGGGTCATCCTTTGGACAAAAATACCATGATGCGAAAGGTAGATGGTCAGAGAAAAAGAGAAAGATCCTCAACAAGATAGATAGACATAGTGACTGTAACAAAAGGTTTGAACAAATGAGAGATGGTGAGAATGGGGCTGACTAGGACAAAGCTCCAATCTGTTGATCATAGAGTCACTACAAGTGCTAGTAAGCTGGCCAGCACTAACAACAACAATAACAACAACAACAACAACATGATAACCTTGTACAGAGAACTGGACTTGGAGACTAAAAATGGGAGAATTCGCTCTGCGTTTCTCAAGCTGAGAGAACTGAAAAACAAATTAGAGCGTGGAGTCCTGATATTGGAAGCTGTTATGCTATTGTATGACCTAGGAAGCATCAAAAGAAGATGCAGAGAACATATGAAGTCACTGTACCAAAAGAACTGACAGACATTGAAAAATTTGGCACTGAAAAATTTGAGGAAGTACTGTATATGCAGGAGCCAATGGTAATGAAGGAGAAAGTAGAAGCTGCATTGAAGGAATTGGCAAAAAATAAGGCCTCAGGAATCAATCAGATACCACATTACTTGTTTCAGTTAACAGATGCAGCCCTGGGTGCACTTACCAATCTATGCCAGGAAATTTGGAGGACAACTATCTGGCCAAGGAATTGGAAGAAGTCCATATTTGTTCCCATTTCCAGGAAAGGTGATCCAATAGAACGTGGAAAATATCAAATAGTATCATTAATATCATATGCAAGTAAAATACTGCTGAAGGTCATTAAAAAATTGCTAGAACAGTACATAGATAGGGAATTACCAGAAGTTTAAGTAGGATTTAGAAGAAGCCATGGCACCAGGGGTATCATTGCTAATGCCAGATGGATCCCGGCTAATAATAAAGGATATTTACTAGAAGAATGTCTACTTATGCTTTATTGACTATGCAAAGGTATTTGTGTGGATCATAACAAGTTATGGCTAACAATGAAAAGAATGGATATCCAGAGCACTTAATTGTGCTCATGTGAAACTTCTACCTAGACCAAGAGGCTGTTGTGCAAACAAAACAAGAACACTACATGGTTTAAACTGAGAAGGGAGTGTGTCAGGGTTGTATTCTCTCTTCACCTATTCAATCTGTATGCTGAGCAAATTATTTGAGAGGCTGGACTCTATAAAGAGGAATGTCTATCTGGATTGGAGGGAGATTAATCAATAATCTGTGTTATACAGGTAACACAACCTTGTTTGATGAAAGTAAGGAGGACTTGAAGAAATTGTTGTAGAGGATCAAAGAATACAGCCTTCAATAAGGATTGAAGTTCAAGTTCAAGAAAACAAAAATTCTTACCACTAGAACTATAAACAACATCATGATAAATGAAGAAAAGATTGAAACTTAGTAACTTCATCTTGGATCCACAATTAACATCCTCAGTACCAGTAGTCAGGAAATCAAGAGATATATTGCACTGGGAGAGTATAAGGTTAGGGACTTCTTCAAGTTATTGAAGAGTAATGATGTCAGTTTGAGGATTAAGGTGTATCTGATTCAGGCAATGGTCTTTCCAATTCCTTGCCATGCATCAGAGAGCTGGACAATTAATATGGGTGACAGAAGAAGAATTGATGCCTTTAAATTGTGGTGTTGGAGAAGAATACTGAACATCGCATGGACGGCCAAAATAACAAACAAATATATATTTGGCAGCCAGACTGCTCTTTGGTGGCAAAGATGATAAAGCTTATACTCAGATACTTTGGGAATATTGCTAGGAAGGGTTATTTCTTGGAAGGGGACATAAAGCTTGGAAAGCTGGAGGGTCAGTGAAGATGAGGAAGACTCAACCAGGTAGACTAACATAGTGATTGCTGCAATGGGCTCTAGTGTGTCAGGAAGTGTGAGGATGGCACAGGATAGAACAGGGTTCTGATCTGTTCTTCATAGGGTTGTTATGGGTTGTATTTGACTTGATGACACCTAACAACAACAACAACAACTTTAAGGCAAGGAGAGCTTTGGTGGCAAAATGTGTAGGAAGTTGGGCTGTTAACTCAAAGACCTTTCCTCTCTGGCAATTTGAATACACTAACGACTGTGTTTGAAAAAAATGGGCAATCTCCTCCCATGAGATTTACAACCTCAGAAACCCAATGTAAAGTCAGCTGTGAGTCAATTCTGACTTGATGGCAATGAGTAAACACTATGAAAAAGATTCTCAACTAGCAAGTAAAAGTGACTTAGAGATGTAAGGGACAAAGCTGAAGAACCAGGGATTAAGACAGGGCAGGAAGAGTTACTTTGAAATGTGATACAAGAAAAATCCTACCCTGAAGATGCGTGTTGCCAGTAGGAACCAGTCCTTGGAGAAGACACCATGTTTGGAAGGTGGAGGGACAGCTCAAGAGAGGAAGACCCTGGATGAGATAGATTGACACAGTGACTGAGGTAATGGGAGTAGGTGTGTTGAAGACAGTGAGACTGGTTCAGTATAGGGTCAGCCTCAGAGATATTCTACATAGAGTCACTGTGAGTCGAAGTCAACTCAAGGGCATGTAACAAGAAGAAGACGAAGAAGTAAAATTTAAAACAAAACAAAGCTACTGATTGTCATAGAGTGGAAACCAGCCTATGGTGCTTCTCTGTAGACTCTCCAGTGGGTTTTCAGGAGCTGTAAATTGCATGGGAGGAAATTGGCCATTAGGAAATTCATCTACACCCATTAATTGTGTTGTGGATTTTATGGCTTGTTTATACATGAATTCCTCTGCCCTCACCTTATTATTCAGCACTATGTATATGTATATGTATATGTATATGTATAGGGATAGGGATAGGGATAGGGATAGGGATAGGGATAGGGATAGGTATATAGAAAGAATATACT